CTGTCTTTCATGTTTGCATTTCAAACACGCCGCCCTTAAGAAAAACATTCTTGGGTTGTAAAGAAAGAATTGATACATTTTCTAAGGAAAATGAACTAAGAGAGGGGAAGAGGGAAGTGTCTCTCTTTTTGCACCAGGAAAAACAAAACACAATATTTTCTTTTTAGCTTTTAATATAAATCTTAATTTATATTATTTATATTTATTATGAAACTTAAGTTTATATACAAATTTTTAGATGGGTAAATGTTTGCATGCACGGACCCCTTTACAGAGGGCATGATTCACATGGATATCTTTGGGAAGGTGGTGGGAAGGGCAAAGCCAGGGGCCTGAGAGGGAAACCTGCCGGCCGCTGGCAGAACAGCCAGGAAGCCAGAGGGTCGAGGCAGAGGGTCACAGGTCAGAGAGACAGTCGGCCCTGAGCCCTTGCTCTTGACCCCAGGCGATTGCTTCACACACCATCTGTTGTGAGGACCAATCCATTGTGACCCAGTGTTCTTGTACCATACAATAAAAATGCACTGCTAGAAAAACAAAAGTAAAAGCCAAAGCCCATTAATGTCACTTATAAGCCAGACACAAAAGAACAAATGCTGTCTGATTCCGCTGATGTGGGATTACCTGGAGAAGTCAAGTCCACAGGGGTGGAGAGAGTATATGGAGGGCGCCAGGGGCTGGGGGGTGGAAGAGGAGCTACTGTTTAATAAGTACAGAGGTTCAGTTTTGAAAGATGAAGAAACTTCTGGAGATGGGCGGTGGTGATGGTTGCACGACATGGTGAGTACACTTACGCCCCTGAACTGTACACTTAAAAACGGTTAAGATGGGAAATGTTGTTCCGTATATTTTACTACAATAAAAAATATATATTTTTTAAAGATCTGAGATCAAAGCACCATTTTCTAATAATTAGACGACACAGAAAGTTACTCTGTTAAACTGCCACAGCGTTTGTGAAAGGCCAATGTGTTCTGCGCTGGCTGGTGCTGTGGGCGCTGCCCCCGGCCTGGTCCGGCCTCGGGCCTCGGGGCGGGTCCTGCCTGGGGAGCCGGGAGGGAGGTGGGAGCTGCCAGGCCACGCGCGCGTGGTTTCGTTCTCACTGCTTCCAAAAGCGCGGTAGGAACCCAGGTAGAAGCCGAATGTCTGCAAACAAGCAGGAGACGAGCTGTGGACTAGAGAGCGCGGGCGCGGAGCGGGAGCTCCCTGGACGTCCAGCGCCTGCCAAGCCCC